TAGGGTTTAGGGCTATAATAGGGGTCATATTGAGGGTTTAGGGTTTAGGGCTGTAATAGGGCACATATTGAGGTTTAGGGTTTTAGGGTTTTGGGCTATGGTAGGGGTCATGTTAAGGGCGCTAGATGTTCAGAATGTAAGTAGTATCCAACTGCTACTCCATAAGCCCTAAACCCTAAGCCCCAACACTAAACTGAGTGGGGGCACGAGGTTGAGGGTTTAGGGTGCAGAGTTTGGGGGGTGCCTTCTAGCCAGGGACACAATTTTGTGCCAAGGAAACCCTAACCCCTCAACCCTATACCCTAAACCCTAAACTCTAAACCCTAAACCCCTTAAACCCTAAGCCCTATAGCCAAGGAATAGCATCTTTGTGATGATCGTCCTCACTTCTTACCTGGTGTCCTTTACTTTGAGAAACCACGTGGAGCAAAGTATGCGTATCTGTCAGGCAAGTTTGGGGTTAGGGTTTAGGGTTTAGGGTTCAAGGATTAGGGTTTAAGGTTTAGAGTTTAGGGTTTACCTTTCTACAGTCCTGCTGCATCCTCATGTTGGACTTGTCCGTAGGATCTGTGGAAAGGATCCGACACAGATTTAAGGTAGTTTGCGAAAGTGCGGACTCCAATATAGTAGACACCAAAATTATACGACCCTTATTCGAAGGGCCCCCAAGATGGTACCCCTAATTGTGGGAAACCCGGAACCCTAAACCCTTCATAATGCAAACGTTATAAACCCTAAACCCCCAAAAAGGTACCCACTCCTCATTTGTCAGGAGCTCTGCAGGTTGCGTCCTGCCACAAGCATACATTCATCAAAAGGATTATGGAACCCTAGGCTGGGTACTGTTAAGGATTTTAAACTAAGTTACTATAATAAGGAAACCCCATCATTTACCATATACACATAATATGCCATAATCTACCCAAAATATACCCATAATGTACAAATAATATACCCCCTAATACTGTATACCCATCATATACACCTAATATACCCCTAATATACCCCTAATACACCCCTAATATACCCCTAATATACCCCTGATATATCCATAATATCCCCATGACATGCCAGCTTGAATTAAACTCCTTAAGAGCGGTCCGGGAGCTTCATCTGCTGGCACGCCACCTGGTAGTCTCCCTAGATAGGGGGACCCCAATGTAGACCCCAAAATACTCTAGTCCTGATATTATAGGGACCCCCGAAAAGGCCCCTTAAGTAGATAGAATATGGGGTATGTGGGGATCTTATTATAATATACCCAAAGCCATACTCAAAACCCAAAACCCCAAAAAGGTACCCCCTAAATGGGGGAGACCCCCACCTCTTCCTTGCTGAGATCGTGCCGTAAGCTGAGAGCCTCCTTGCGCATGGCAGCGGCCTCCACTCGCAGTGCGCTGGCCTCTGCTGTGGTCTAAACCCTCAAATCCTAAACCCTTAAACCCTATAGACCCTATAAACCCTATAAACCCTTAAACCCTATAAACCCTTAAACCCTCTAAACCCTCAAACCCTATAAACCCTATCAACCCTTAGACCCTATAAACCCTCAAACCCTATAAACCCTATAAACCCTTAAACCCTTAAACCCTTAAACCCTTAAACCCTATAAACCCTATGAACCCTTAAACCCTTAAACCCTTAAGCCCTGTAAACCCTATGAACCCATAAACCCATGAACCTTAAACCCCAGCCTCCGTGGTAGCCGCATGGATCGAAGCATCGCGTTGATCAAGGAGTCGCGCCTCCTCCTGGCGGTTGGCCTGCATGACCTGTGCTTCTGCTGTCTCACCTTCAGACCATCCTTCCGTCTCCCCAAAATAAAACCAGCCTGCAGCTTGAAGCTCCAGGGATCGTGTAGCTTTCTCTTGAGATACTGCTGCACGGGCCTCTGCTGCCGATACCTCCTCCTCTCTGAGCCTTACCATGGCTTCTTCCCCTTCCCCGGCCAGATGTAAAGCTTCTTGAGCTTCTCCCAGTCTGCTGGAAGAGTCGGCCAGCTCCTCTTGCATCCAGGCTCGCACGGCAAGCAACTCGCTCCGGCCTGCATCTGAAATCTCCTGCAAGAGCTTATGTGCCTGCTCGCTTTCGCTTTTGGCCCGCTCGGCGGCCGACTCTGCCATCAGTTCGCATGTCGTCTCGGCTGCCAAGGCAGAACGCAGCATATCCTCCGTGTCCTTGGCTCCTTGCATAGCAGATAAAACAGCCATCTGGTTCTGGTCCTGCAAGGAATCCCGAATCCTCTGAAGCTCTGCATCTGAATCGCTTTTAAGTAATCTCTTCTCTGCTGCATCCAGCAGTGAGCGGAGGCGCGGCAACTCCTGGGCCTCCTGCTTTAAAGCCTCTACCTCGCTCTCCAAACGTTCTACGTTGCTCTTGGGCTCCTGCACTTGGACAGCACGGCTCATGGCCACGGGAGCCTCCGGGACATCATCCTCTGCCTGGGAGGCCTCGACCTCTTCAAGACTTGCTGAAGAAGCCTCTGCAGGCACCATGGGTACCTCACTGACGGCGGAGGCCAGCAGTGCCTGTTGTGCTGGGTATGTAAGCTCCTCCTGCAGCAAGTGGCTTCGGTCGACTGCTTGCTGCAACTCTTGCCTTAGGCTGGCCTCATGCTCTGAAGCCTCCTCGGAAACAGCGCGCAAGGCTGCAGCGGCAGCTTTGCGGCGTTCGACCTGCAGGCGCTTGCGCCATCGTCTCTCCTCCTCCTGCATCTGTGCCAGAATCTCTGCATGCAACTCACCAGTCCTTGGATCTGGGCTCACAGATACAGGAGGAAGCACGGGAGCAGGCATGGAAGCAAGCGGCCTCTGCTCAGGTGTTTCGAGTGTCAACCGCCGCTGTGCTAGTTCCTCCTGCAGCTCTTCCGAGTGCAAGATCGATTGCTTGAGCTCCTCGTGTTTCTTCTGCAGCTGGTAAGTGGCAGACTCGAGCTCTTCCAGATTGCTCTCAAGCTCGGCTGCAGCAGGAGTGAAAGAACCAACAGGATCTGAGTCTGAGAGTGGGGAGCTGATCGAGCATTGTGCGCTCGGCCGCCTCGACTGCTGCATAACTTCAGGCTGCATCAGCAGGCTCGGTCTCTGCATCTCCTCGGCTAGCAGCTCTTGCGACTGCTGTAGAGCTTCTGGCTGGAAGGACAAGCTTGATGTCTGCATCTCATCTGTAAGATCAGGAAATCCAAATGAAGGTGATGGCAAGGGTGAGCATGAACGTCCTGTGACTGCAGGCGGGGATCTCGGCGGTCTGGAGGAGCCTTGTGCCACTGACGCAACAGAGATTGTGGGACTGCGAGGAGGCAAGGGCCTGGATCTGGGAGTCAAAGCCCGTCTTCCTGCAACCTCATCTGGCTCTCCCTGCATGATAGGAGAAGAACTCCGGGCTGTTCGGGGACCTGCGAGTCCTTCTTCCTGACCTCCTGCTTTTACTGCCTGCTTCTCTGCATTGCTGGCGTCCTCAAGCGCCATCTCACAAGACGCCAACTCCTCCCTTTGCATTTGGTAGGCCAATCGTATGCCGAAAAGCTCTTCCTGCAGCTCCTGCACCTCGTGCTCACCTTTCAAAGCAGCTTCACCCAAGAGCTGCGATGAGTCCAGGACTTCCTGGAAAGTCACTTGCTGCTCAGAAAGCTTCTCACCTTGCATTTGCACCTCAGCTTCCAATCTTTGCACCTCCTCCACAAGGTCCCGCCTGGGCCATCCCGTGGGCTGTGGCGACTCTGGCATCTGCGAGGTCGGTGCATCAGGCATGCCCTGGCAAAGGCTGCTGTAGTCGCTGTGAGAGGCCCCGTTAACCTAGTAAAACATGATGCTGAGGACCGTGCTTTGTGCCAGACTGCAAATGCTCAAGAATTGTAAGAGATTGTAAGAGTACAAAACACCAGGCAAGAGCCCACAGATCGTGGCTTCTGAAAGTTCTTGTCCATTTGAGTTTCCATTGTTGTGGGTCATGCCCCTAAACCCTTCATGTAGGGACTTTCTACATCGCCAGCAATGGGCACAAGATGCCACAGCAAGGGCCTCCTTCATGTCAGGGAGCTGCAAGCTGCGCGGTTTGGGCAACAGGCTCTCACCGTCCAGGTCCCTCGTGATAGATAGCCTATACTGAACTTGGAACCCTAGTAATTTTTTTTGATTTTTGCTGTTTCATAAGATCATAACAAGCAAAAAAATAGAAATATCTTCAAGTACCCCCAAGCAGCAGGGCAATCTGAACTTTGTCCAGGTCATCCTCAGTACTCCAGAAAACAGGCAAGAAAGTTTCAAAGAGTACGACTCTGAAAAACGGTTCGCCTGAGGCTGCTTGTAGCCAATGATGCGTTAGCGGCGAGAAGTTGAAGTCCAAACTTTCAACCCAAAACTCTTCATCCCAAATCCTAAACCTACACTCTGAGACAATGGGAACTTTCAATCCTAAACCCCAAAACCCCAAAACCCCAACCCTAAACCCTAAACTCAAGTCCCTAAACCATGGGTGCCAAGGGTCCGTAATCTGCCAAAAGCCAGGCTCCTCTGTAGAAAGCAATGGCGACGCCTCCATTGAAAAGCTGGGATCAACTTGATACATAGAGCATGTAGGGATATATAGGGATATGTGGGGGTATAACAGGTTTAGAAAAGACCTTCGTAGACTTGGGAAACCTGGACATAGACCTGAGCCCGGCTATGTCTAATTTAGGAAAAGCTTAGGAACCCCGAAGCCCTAAACCCTCAACCCCTAAACCATTCTAGTTAATGTAGACCCATGATTCATAAACCCCTCCTTTTAAGGGACCCCTATTATAATCCCTACTAAGGGAGTGGGTTTCTTAATCAGGGGTCTACATTAAACCCTAAACAGCAACAACAAAAACTTTCGATTAACGTTTTCCAGGCTACTGCTGGGGGAGCGAAGTCGGGGCGGTAGTCTGGGTAGTCCTTGACGAGCTCTGTATCTGTCCCAAGCACTGACTGTTCCTTAATAGTGGTTAGTAGGGAATATGGGAATATTTTCGATAGGGATCCCTATTGAATGTATTCCCAGAAGGAATCGCTATAGGGATAATATAGGGATTCTATTCCCCTATAATCATTCCCTACTAACCACCAGTAAGGTTCTCGAAGATATGGCTTAGAGCTGGTTGTGAGCTGCTGAGGTTGAGGTCCTGAAGGCTGAGCTGACAGCACTGGGGAGGAGGCTGCGGCTTGTATGGCTGGAGTGGGCTTCGATGCCTCCCCCAAAGCCGCAGTCATGGAGGGAGAGGGCGATTCTGCAAGCTTTCGAGCCAACTCAGCGTGTTCATCAACTGCCTTCAGACGAAGAGTTCGCTCTCTATTCAGCTCTACCCGCACTGCGTAGAGGTCGGAGTCTCGAAGCTCGTTCCTGGCTGCTTCTGCATGAGCCAATGCCTGCGCTTCCTCAGCAAGAGCTCTGGCAGCCGTGGTTTCGGCAGCCTCAAACCCCTGGGCTTTCGCGACCAGCTGGAATGCGTCTCTGCCCAAATTACCTTCCACCATGGCAGCAGTCGCCTCTTCCACATTGCGCAGTCGTTCAGAGAGGAACTCCAGCGTCTCTTCTTCTTGTGGAATGGCACTACGAATAGCGTTTGCTTCTTGCACTAGCGGATCTTCCAGCTGCAGCGTCATGCGTCTTGCCTCATCATTGCGCCTGCGCAAGCCGCGCACAGCTGCATTCTCTGCACGCACCAGGGACTGCTTCAGATCCTCCCTTTGTTGCATTGCTTGCTCCACAGTTGACTCCACATCGCTTCCAGCTGTTCGGTGAAAAGCGCGCATTGCTGCCTTTTCGATGCGAAGCTCTGTCCGCACGCTCTCAATGGCACTCTCCTGGCTCTCGCTTGCCTGGTGGCCAGCGTTGACCGTCTCCTGGCTTTGACTCAGAACGAGAATGCCCCTTGTATTTTTGTAAGAACCCCGGCGTTTGCAGCGCTGCAAACAGATTCCTACCGTCGGGGCCTACACAAACTTGATGTTGCGATGTTAGCCCACGTCAAGCCTATATACTTGTGCGCACCAGAGCTACCTAGCCGGGACCTTGGCAGCACAACCCCAATACAACATCTACAAGCACGTGCCTTCTCGCTCCTGATTCCACATCCTACATCTTATCCGTACCCCAGGCTCCTTGAGGTTGGCCCAGTACCCCCACTCTTAAAGGATGTGTCGAGTTGCTAAGCGAGAACCAGCTTATACAATAAGGCTTCTGTGGGAGACTGAGCGGCAAGTACAGGGTGTGCGTAAAGCTTAGTGTTGCACTAGCTTCATTGAAAAGACCTCGTCTAATGTCTCTCGGCGGCCCCCTATTCCATCCCAGGCCATTGTTGGAAGACCATATTCAATCTGTTTAGGCTTTGGACCCCCAAAATGTAGGAATAGGTGTACCTCTTTGTTCTAAAGACTTAGGAGGTTCAGGTGCTGAAATCCTTACTTATGTCTGCAGCTTCTCTAAACCCAAGGGCTGACAGATTCAAGAAGGTTTCCAGACAATGGTGCGTATTCAGGTTAGAGGGGTCTGCTGATTTACTCACATTGCCCGACTGACTTGGACAAGGAAGTTTTAGGCTTCGAAGAAGAAATTTTTACTAAACCTGCTCAGCTTTACGCTTAAGATGTTGAGAACCTCTAGGCCTGCGGCCTGAGCTTGTGAGTTCTGACAAGGGCCCATCCTCAGAGCTTGACATTCTAAAGCCAGCTCTTTAACCTGATGCCGGCAAGGTTTGGTAGCATTGCAAAGTCAGAGTAAGAGTACGTGAATAGGAACAGTAAGAACACGTGTAAGACTATGAGCAAGCGTGATAGGGATAATAAAACTAAGAGAAATAATGGACCGTTAGAATAGCAATAGCCTACTCATGGTTTGACAGCTCCTGCCAATACTACTACAGGTACTACTAGTAAGCTCCTACTTGTCCTGGTATCACTACAAGTACTACGCCTTGTACTAGTAACTCTACTAGACTTCAGGCGTCTTCGTTGTTCAGGACGCCCATTTTCCAATTTTCTGGGCCCTGTTGTTAGGGCGAGGGGGTATATGCATCAAACGCGGCGTAACATTAAATCATGAGAAACTACCCTAAACCCTAAACCCTAAACCCTAAATCATGGGAAACTACCCACCTGAAGGTTCATTGGATGAATCAACTTACTGCTTAGTTTGGTGAATGCAAGAGACCCCTAAAAACAGTAATTAGTCCATACAACCCTAAACGGTAAAGCTACAGTCACAATCCCTGGAATAGTCCCGATAACCCATTGCCCCGGTCTTTTTGGAGCGTATCTAAACAACGCCCAGAAACCCTTACTTGGAGGGTTACAGTAACTTCTTGAGCGTTATTCTATGGCTTGTAGGGGTTATAAGAAGAGACCATTACGTCGCAACTTGATGTTCCATGTTCTTTTCTGTATCATCCTGGCACAAGTCCTGAATAATCCATTGAGAAACCCTACAGAACCTCTATAGGATACCTATATACCCCTGTAGAGTCCTTACTTGGAGGCCCAGGGGACTTAGTAAGGACTTATAGCTGGGGTTATAACCCTACTTATAATCCCCTTAAATGGGCTTATACTCCGGCAGGACAAAAGTTCGCCACACGAACGTCAGTTGACATGTTGTCGGCTATGGCAACTCCTCCTCCCCTTAGACTCCTAGCACAGGCTCTCCGCCGGGAACTTCATAATAGTATATGTTTATTCCCGGAAATTAACTACTCCGCCACGCTGGCCATGTAAAATGACATTCCTGCCCTCCCCGCTTCTCCGCCGGTACTGTAGGCTAGTTGCAAGTCCTCCGCATGTCGAAACTTTCGTCCCGGGGTTTTAGGGGTTACCCCAGGTATAAGCAGGGTTATAACCCCAGTTCTAAGTAGTTACTACGTCCCATGGGCCTCCAAGTACTAAACGACCCCACACAACCCCCACCTCCACAAGCTGCCGCTGGAGGCCCCGCACAACAGCCTGCTCCATGCGCAGCCCGGGCACATTGCCAGCGCCACTTGCTTCCTGGGTCACCAAATAAACTACGTGGCACTTAGGACCCCTACTGTGGGTTAACCCTTCATTACCTATAATAAGAATATAAGGGAATCCCAAAGGGTTAAGGGTCTAAGGTCCAAGCTGAGTCCCAAGGAGTAACGTAGATTCCATTTCTTTTCCATTGCCTCCTATATTACACCAATATAATAGAGAAGTTTCCATCTTCTTTTCCAGTATTCCCTATATTACACCAATATACTAAAGTAGTTTCCATTTTCTTTTCCAGTATTCCCTATATTACCAAAATATACTATAGTCTTTTCCATTTTCTTTTCCATTGTCCCCTATATTACACCAATATACTATAGTAGTTTCCATCTTCTTTTCGATTGTCCCCTATATTACCCCCACATACTATAGTAGCCATTTTCTTTTCCATTGTCCCCTCTATAATTGGGCCATATTAACAATTATTATCTCAAGTTGTTCTTGAAGAAAGCATCCTTGAGTTTGGACTACAGCCGCTCTTCTTTCATGAAGCTGAGGTTCCAGTGTTCAGGACGTGAGGAGCTTACATCAAAGTTCTTCAGGTTTAGGGCTTCAAAGGCTTCATCATTGGGACACTTCCTTTGGGGCCCTCGAATGCTGGAACCCTTGTCTTGGGTTCAAGTCGAGCATTCATAAGGGGATTTTTTGGACGGGGGTACCCTGTGGGACCCTGCAGAAGCTGGGGAATTACAATGAAACTGCAGGGGTCCCCTTCAAGGATTAACTCTTCAACACTCAAGGCCCCCCTCTATCCTGAATCTACATCCCTGTAAATCTACCTAGCCTGAACCCAGCCACCACACCACAAAACCTTAACCCCACATTTCCCAAGATATCCCTGTCCTAAACCACATATTTCCCAAGATATCCCTGTATACCCCGTATGTAATCCTTGGAAACCCTAAACCCTCAAAGGTGCACAGAAAGCCCAGCTTCACTCATCATCTCGGCCTCGCAACTTCGCACGGCCTGCTGAGACCTTTGAAGGTCTGCCTCCATTCAGGGGTGGGGTGGGGTTAGGGATTTTTTGGGATGCTCACGTAGCAAGGCGGGGTTGAGGGATTAGAGTTTAGGCTTTAGGGTTGAGGGTTTAGGGGCTGAAGGGTTTAGAGATTAGGGTTTAGGGTCTAGGGTTCAGGGTTTAGGGAGTTCTATAGGGGTTGTGTAAGGTTGAGTAAGGGAACGCCTTCATTCTAAGGTTGCAAGTATGGGCCCCTACTGTGGGCCCTTAGCCTGTCAGGAGGATTTAGGGACCTCTGAGAGAGAGAGAGAGAGAGAGAGAGAGAGAGAGAGTGAGAGAGTGCGTGTGTGCGTGTGTGCGTGTGTGCGCGAGTGTGTGTGTGTGTGTGTACATATATATATATACATATATGTATGTGTGTACACATATATATATATATGTGGTATACAAGGTATTTACTAGGTATGTAGAGATTCTAGGATAAAGGGCCCAGCCAAAGGGCACCTATTGATCCTACATTCTAACTTCAATGCTTAAAGGCTTAGGGTTTAGGACTGGAAAGCTTTGGAGGTTTGAGGGGTTAGCGTTTCGAAGTTCAGGGTTTAGGGTTTATTGGGGTTGTTGAAATCGGGAAGACCTTATGCGAATACGACGATGAGGCTTGCTACTGCTGCTGACACATAGCCCTCGAGTCATGGCTTTGGTGGCTGTGCCTGACCCTAGACCCTGAACCGTAAACCCCCAAACCCCCAACTCCCACACCCTACACCCCCAAAACCCTCAACCCTAAGCCGCAAAATCCCAAAATCCTAAACCCTAGACCTGCAGCTCTGGCACGGCGCCCTGAACAAAACTTGAACTGAGGATTTGTACGGGGATTTGATCATATGACAGCCACGTGGTTTAGGGTTTAGGGGTTTAGGGTTTGGGGATTTAGGGCTTAGGGGTTTAGGGTTTGGGGTGTTTGGGTTGAGGGCAAGGACAGTGACCCACAAGAGCCCCATTTATAGTCCCTTGAAACCCCAGCAAATTCGAGAAACCCGAAGCCTTACGGGTTTAGGGTTCGTGATCCCTGCAACAGACCTGCTTTACACGCACACATCCCCTTCAACCTCACATGCCAGGCATTGCTATGAGGTATAGTCCCCCCTAAGTAGGCAGAATATGGTGTATATGGAGATGTCGTTATAATATACCCAAAGCCA